CCGGACAAGGATTATTCGCTGTTTGACCACCGACTAGCTCGCACGAGTCACGAATACAACAACGACACTACGATATTATTACGAAGGTTAGCTACCATGCCTACTAGTTAGGCCCCTTTTTACGTTTTACATTATTTCTGTTTTATCTTGCACATACTTAACTTATTATACCTTTTCGTTTTCTTAATATTCCGTTTCGAATTATCTAAATTTAATATCTTAACTTGAGTCTTGACCTGCCAGTTCCTGCCTGCCAGTGACTAGCGGTGGCTATCGTTTATTTAATTTTAATTAATTAGTTTCGAAATTACGATTTCTCCGTTCGCTTAACAAATAATTATCACGTCTAAATTATATCTCGTTTTCGCTGTTTTAATACCCCGAGACTTGTCGTCTAAGTTCTAAACCCCGTCTTTGGCGGGTGAAAGAATCAAGTCTTGGAAGCAGCTGATTTGAACAATCAAACAGCTACGAATATTCATATTAAATCTATTTTAAATCATCCCACGATAAAATTCTCCATTCGATAATATTAATTAGGCCCGACGACTCTGTAGGAATTGCTTTTTACATTAGATTTGATTTTATTATTTACCAACGTATTTAGCCAAATAGTTTATAGTTTAAAACGAGTATTTATATCACATTGGCATAAGATTGGATACTCGTCGGCCCTACAGAGTCATTATAAAAGTTAGGCAAAATTCTCCAAAACACGTTAGCGAAGGTGAGGATGAAATAGCTCCTACTGAGTGTCTGCAGGATTTCCTGAGCGCATCTAGAGCTCTGAGCCTTCGATTAAATTTTAATAAATTGATCAGTCAAAGCCGTGACAACTTCGTATCGACCCCTGGATTTTTATCGGCTCCTTCTGAGCACTCCGGGGAAGAAATTTGAGTGTGGCCGGTTCTAGGGTAGGCCTAGACTGACTTGGTGAATACTAGTTTATTCCCCCCCTAGAATTTTGCATCACAACATTAATTTCTTACTAAACTATTAACATAAAAAAACCACCTTTTTACCCTCCCTGTTGCAGCAAACTTAAGTACTCGTTAAACTAATTCTATTTAAATAGGGAATAAATATGATATTTTTAAGGAGGCATTTTAGTGTAACTCCTATCAGGCTAATGGAAATTTGTTTAGTTTGCAGGTTTGCTGCGGGGGGGGCATTTTTTTATTTGACCTGATAACTAAGTTAATAAAAAAACTGATTAAAATTTCACCCTACATTTGTTTGATTTAAAATTATTTTGAATACCTACTTATTCCTATACAAATTTCATCAAAATATACCATAAAAAGCACACTACAAATAGTAGGCCTAAATTTATTCTCCATAAAAAAACATGGTAATTTTAAAATTAAAGTTTTTTTAACTATCAGACCTACAATAACGCTGTACTAAACTATTATTGTTTTTTAAACTAACTACAGAATGCTTATAGAAAGTAAAGGCAAAATATTATGTTATTGAGGGTAAAACTGAAAAAAAAACAATTATAAAACCCGGTCCCCATAGTCTAATCAAGCTGGTTCAAGAACTTATTAGAATTAACATAGGTTTACTTGTTTGTACCAAATTTAATCAAAATCAGATGATTTAAAAAACCAGGTGTATTAGAGAGGATGGAGTTTTGAGCCTCTGAGGACATCAAAACAAAAAAGTAAAGCGATCCAGTGTCCAGGTCATACTATGAGACCATGGTGATGGCTTAATATGTAGCACATTCACTAAAATGGTTTTTAGTTTTTTAATATTAGTAAACTTCAATGAAATTATGTCCAAAATGTATTGTATTTTAGGAAATTCTCAGTTAATGATTTGTGAATCACAAAATTAATTAAATAAGTTTCAAGCAATTTGTTTTTGTTAGGCTGACATTTTTCCTTCTCGCTGCAAATGATATGATCTAGCCTATTCAGTAATTAATTAAGAGTAGATCTAGTTTTCCAATTTGCAACAGCGAAGTGATAGTCGACAGCCAAAAATATCCGTGGAACTAAATCAGATCCAAACAATATATTCCTTCGTCTAGACTTTTTGTCATAATAGGCCTATTCGCAACAGCACATCTCCAATTCTTGTGAAAGAACTACAATATTGAAGAGATTAGCAGAGAAAATGGGTAAAAATACCTTTGTGTCACCTTGAATATGAAAATAGAACTAATTTTAGGTGAATACCCATGTTCACAATTTACAAAGCAAAATTGTCCTTGGTTACAAAAAGTGATTTTTCAAGGTAGGTACCTGATTTTGGTTGAGTGCTAGTTTTATAGACAAAATGTGTGTTTTTTTACTGCTTGGCTCAACATATGACCCTTATTAATACATAATTCTGTAAGCTGAAAAGGTGCTTATATGTGTCTTAATGAAGTGATGTATCAAAGGCATTTTCATCAGGAAGATTGTTATTTTTTTACAGATGTCTTCTTTACATGTCTCTTGGATTACAAGATGACAAACAGATAACAAATCTGTAGGTAGCTATGTAAACAATTGTTATGTAAAAATGATTGATTACACAAGCTAAACATTCTATATTTAGACTTTGTAGTTTGACATAACCAAGTTAGAGGTAGCCAAAATAATCTGTCATTTAGTGAACTCTCCAATGTTATGTTATCAGGGCTGTATTTAACTAACGGCGGACACGGCGGCCGCCGGGGTCCTCGGGCTAAGGGGGGCCTCACTTGGGCCTAATATTTTTATTTCAAAAATTGAATTTTACCAGTAAAATGAGATAATAAAGAAATATTAATCCATACTTTTTTCTGCTTCCTGTTCTCCTTTCACAAATAAATATTAGGCCTAGCTTAATATAAAATATGATTTAAAATAAAATAAAATTATTTATTAGCAATAGTTGCAATAGCAACGAAATCGGGTGGTTGAGTGGAAATGCGCTGTTGTCACAAATGGGACCAGCGATGTGAGGGAAGGTCGAGAATCGCATACCTTGGCGCACAAACTGGCTACATTGAGCGTCCAGGGTTTAACGTTGTCTAAAGTCCATGCGTCGAGCTTATCTCAATACGCGCAGGGATAAAAATGTTGAACAAATACAAACTCATTACAAAATTTATACCTATTATATATTATACACCATGTGTTTCCTTCTTACAATCAAATGATACTCAAAATGCTGCTTTGAACCGGAATGTTAAGCACAAGATACCAAAGTTAAAAAAGGTTTACAAAATCAAAATCTACAAGAAATTGGAAAATATTAATGTTAAAATCGTGAAAATAAACAAATTAATGGATTTGTAAATAACCCTCCTATATGCCATAACAAGTTGAAGCTCGTAAGTGTAATAGATCTTTTATAATAATTTTACAAATTTTAGATTTACCATAGGGCCTACTCTAATGTTCTGAAAAAACACCAATATTTTCTAATTGTTTACATGATATTGATCTTCTTGTGAATTTTGTAAACCCTAGTTAACTTTGTTAAGTTGCCTCGAAAATTCCCGTTCAAAGCAACGTTGTAATATCAATTGATCGTATGTTTTAAAAATATAGTGCCTAAACGACATAAATTAACAATGATCTATAATAAGTTTATATTTGTTTAACGTTTTTATTATTCGAGGGGGCTGGTTTGTTGGAATATAATATGGCAACATTGCAAAATCTTTCACCCGCCTGACTTCGTGGCCGCAACTATATTCTTCTAAGTCTCCTAGGTCTAATCGCAAATCGGATGGCCTATAGCAAAGGGTCAAGTGTCGAGTTACACATTGGCTGATGTGAGGGGCAGGGACAGGTTTTTATAGCAGGAAAAAATGTTAAGTACTGTATTGAATCAGTCTACCCACTTCTAGGATAATTAGGCCTACCCTTTTCTAGGATTATACCATTTTAGGGTAATCCTACAGTAAAATAAAAATACTAGGCCTATATCTTGTATTTACAAAAAAAATCTGGAAAGCAGAAAAAGCCGTAAGTTACAATGGTACAAACTTCAATTGATTAATAAACTATCAAATAACTAAAACTGCTTATTTTTTATGTGTGATTTAGTTTATTTTACCTCTAGACCTAATTAATAAAAACCATTGTGATCGTAGTCAAATAAAATGAAGCAAGCAGTAATTTCTCCTAAATAAAATAATAGTATCACTATGTAGAAATTCCAGATAGCCTATACAATTCAATATTCACAAAAACCACGAGGTTAAGTTTATTGTATTTGACTGTTAATGCCAACATAACTCAAAACAGAACTCCATAATATGTAAGGCTTGCAAATTAATGTCCGACATTGTCATGTTTACCATCAACTTGCTTTGTACAATAAACTCCCCTTAGCTGTAAGAAATCTTGCATTCAATAGATAAAAAAAAAACTGTAGGCTAACTTATTTCATTAAGATTTCCTACTACTCTGTAGCCGGCTACATAGACGATTAAAATTTTCATTCGCCTCTTATCATACATATTTTTTTCCATGGTTTTTATTTAGCCAATTTGTTTCACATGTTTCAATTCTATGTGCCATTCCCATGTCCTATATTGCATTATCTGTACGGTTAAAGGAGTAAAATCTATTGTTTATTATTAACTGAACTATGCTGATGACGGTGACAAGCCCGTAGATCACATCACGATTGGGTGAGGAAGGAGGAGTAACAACCTCGTTAAAAAACCAGGGACTGCTTGGCTCCGGGCAGAAAGCACCCTGTAAGGGCTGGCCAGGGTCACGGTCAAGTCCTTAACGGCATTGAAGGCGGAGAAGAAAGGTCTTGGTACGGTGGATATGGCAGAGAAGGCATTATAGGGTAGATAGCACTATTTAGTCACAGTGAAGTCAGGCTATCTAAAGGGTTTAAGACCCTGAAATTAAATTCAGGCATGTGCTTAGGCCTCAAGGTGGCAGCCCCACCATAGTACTAGGTAGCTGTAGGCTGATAACCTGCACTTCCGAAGCCAAATTATCACAGAAACAGAAAGAAAATCAAACTGGACGAAATTGTTGGCTAGGACCTTTGACATGAAACAGGCTACGAGAGTTGGATTTTGGAATGATAGAACTTTGAGAGAGATAGGGAAAATGAGGCAACTGGAGAGAGAAATGGACAACTATAGGTTGGACTTACTTGGAGTCAGCGAATCTAGATGGAGTGATTTTGGTGAAACTCGAACTAGTGGAGGCAAAACTTTCTTGCACTCAGGCCAAGTTGGTGAAGAGGCAGAAAGCCGAAATGGAGTTGGATTATTAATGACTAAAAATGCCCACAATAGTCTAATCAAATGGGAAGGAGTCTCAGATTGGTTTATTTGGGCGAAATTTAAAGGAAAAGTGCAAAATATTACTGTTTTTTTTTTTGTATGCTATGCGCCCACTGAACTAGCAGAACAAGGAAAATAAGTTAAGTAATCTAGCATTTCACAAGAGCTAAGAAAAGCAAACAAGCGGAATGTAAAAATTATTATTAGTGACTTACATGCTAAATCGTAATGTCAGAGGCATATCGTAATGTCAAGAGGTATATGTGCGAGGAGACAAAAGAAGATGGGTTGATGAACTGGTTCAGGAAGCAGAAGAAGCTGCAAGACAAGGAAATAGCAAAAAGCTTTACGACATTACAAGGAAACTGGCAAAGAAAAACTTCGCTAGAAAAAACCCAGCAAGAAGTAGCCTAAGAGTGGTAAAATGCTGACAAACATTAAAGACCAGTTGAATGGATGGCAGGAACACTTCAGCGAACTACTGGATAGAGCACAAACACAGGAAGAGGCTTTGCCACTACCTCGCCCTGTGCAGATGGACCATGGTATAAATCTAGAAATCCTTTCAATTGAAGAAATCAGAGATGCGATCAAAAGCATGAAAAATGGCAAAGCCCCTGGTTTAGACAACATTGCGGTCGAGATCCCAAAAGCTGGTGATGTAACCGCGGACCTACTTCATCTACTACTTCAAGAGATTTGGCAAGAGGAGAGAACTCCAAAGGAATGGAAGGACATAGTTGTCATAATACCAAAGAAAGGGGATGTAACAATCTGTAACAATTGGAGAGGTATTAAGGTAAATTGCCAAATGCTTTGACTCGTCCAAATACCGTGATTCTCCGCTTTAAACGTAAATAATAAGCCGACGACTGAAGGTACAACACATAGCCTAGAGAAACAATAGCTTGTTCTATGTGTCTTTGAGTTTGTTACTCTATGGTTTGGTCGTAGCTGGCGCCAAGCAGTCTGTAACAGTAGCGTCTGAAATCGTGATCAGTTCGAATGTCGCTGAATTCTTAATGTGTTTTGAGCTTCAAGATAGTGATTCAGGTAAGCAAAATAGGATTTAACTCATTACGTATGACAGCTGTGAATAATTTTAGTTTTATTTCGTAGTGTTAGTATTTAGTTCTTATGCATTCATTTAGTTAATTTTTCAATTTAGTAAAGGTTATATGGGCCATTCTTCAGAAAAGGACAGATTTCAATTTTATATTTTTATTTTTTTTATATTTTATTTTTTTAATTTTTTTTAGATATTTTAATGTATGACCTTTTTTAATATTTACCCATTGCAATGGTCACACTAAATAAAAATCTCTTTCCCTGATTTTTAGTATTTAAAAACTAGCATGTCCACGGAAGTGACAATAAGTCCACAGAAGTGACTATCGCAACTGCAAATTTTACAAATAAAGTTCAAAAACCAACATAGATTCTAGCAAATAGGTTAGGAACAATGTTTGCTCTTATTTTGTAGGGAAACTCATAAACTACTGTAAATTAGTGTATTAGGTTTAATTGCCATTTAAAATAATAGGTGTTAAGCGTAGCAACGCGCGCCGGGTAACTGCTAGGTGTCCACAGAAGTGATGTCCACAGAAGTGATGTCCACAGAAGTGATGTCCACAGAAGTGATGATTTAGCATTTTATGCCTATAGAGTCTAGCAAATAGGTTAGGAACAATGTTTGCTCTAGAGAATCACATAAACTACTGTAAATTAGCGTATTAGGTTTAATTGCCATTTAAAATAATAGTTGTTAAGCGCAGCAACGCGCGCCGGGTAACTGCTATTGTTCACAGAAGTGATGATTTAGCATTTATGCCTAACATAGAGTCTAGCAAATAGGTTAGGAACAATGTTTGCTCTTATTTTTGTAGAGAAACACATATAAACTACTGTAAATTAGTGTGTTAGGTTTAATTGACATGTATAATTACCTTTAAAATGTGGTAACAGAAGTGACTATATTAGCTCGACGATCAATTAAAACTCTAGTTTCACATGAAATAAACAACTAATAACTGAACAGAACACAACCAAACTGATTCTATGTTCAAGATGGTTACTTCTTCTCTGTAAAAAAATAGTGAAAGTTGGCCAGTGCTACCTGGTGGATTTTTTGGAACTACATATATGCCTGTCCACAGGAGTGATGCAGGCTTTGGTGACCGAGTTTCTTTGTTTTTTTTTTTTCCTTAAATAGAATAGAAAAAGTAAAATAAACAAAAATTTATTAATATTCAATGTCTAGATAGCCAACAGCAATTGGGTTTAATAATTCTTATTTCAAATTTGTTAGTAAAATCAGCTAATCTTAAGCTAAACCTAGAGGGGTGACTGTCCACAGAAGTGATGTCACCTTCTGTGGACATAAAATGTTCATTAAATTTCATTTAGATTTTTTTCTTCTTTACATTAAGTATAAAAAAAACTTTTACCTACATATTTAACAACAAATTATGTATTTATTATCTTAATTTTTATTTATTATTCCTTGATGACCGTAATCTGTCCTTTTCTGAAGAATCGATTAATATTAGGATAACGTTATTTAGCAGAAATATACTGCATCAATCTAAACTCCGTGACAAATTCACGGAGTTTAACTTTTAACACTTTGATTGTGTTAGAAATAGTTAAATTTACAAAAAAATATAAACAGTGTTGGAGTGAAATCTAAACCTATTATTCATCTTAAAGGTACGTCCACACCGAACGCGCAGAGCTGCGCCGCGCTGCGCAAAACATGTGCGCGCCGAGCGGCGCACTTGGTGTGGACGGCGAACCGCGCAGCTACGCGCACTCGAGAACATCCGCGAACACGATCCGACTGATGGCGGTATTTTGACGAACATCTTTGAAGTTTGTTCGCCTTTGCGCGCTCAGTGTGGACGGGCATTTGCTCAGTTGTTGCTGCGCGTCGTTTCGGCTCGAACTGTCACTACCTGTGTATGATCAAAATGGCTTTTGAATGGAGTCGTGAGTGCATCGAGACTTTGGTGAATGCATATCGAGTTCGAACGGAGTTATGGGACCCAAAAGACAATAACTACCATATTAAAAATAGAAAAAGTGACGCCTGGCGTGAAATTGCCAGTGAGGTGGGTTGTGATCATGGAGAGGCGAAATCAAAAATGACATCCCTGCTCTCATCCTTCCGGCGAGAAAAGGCAAAGGAAAAGAAGACTCAAAATTCCACTGGTTCAGGTGAGTCCGTGCATAATTAATTTTACACTATCTCTAGCCCCGTCGAAACCCGATGGATACAGGTATATTTTTGTCTTTTAGTCAGTACTACTAACATTTCTAAAGAAATAATTATACCTTTTAACAACTTAATAGGCCCACATTATACATCCTTAACTGTACTTAATTGTTAATGTAAAACACGTGATTAAATTAGAAATTTCAGATTCTTTGTAATGAGTACATACATGTAAAAATTTCTTAAAAAACCAAAGAAAGATGGTGGCCATTTAATAATTAATACAACGCATCAACAAAATGTTGATTCTTGCAGACATAATGGGATTTGCCTATAGGCCAGGATGACATAATTCATAGGCGGCCATTTTTTGTGAAATAGTAAATAACAACTAAATATCTTATATGTTTACGCATGGAGGAAATAGCCGCAATACTGACATGACATCGTTTACTTCCAGCACGTGACCAGTTATATGTGAGCACTTGGTTTGCCTACAAGCTATTTGCATTTCTGAAGGAGAAGGATACACCAACCAATACTTTGGATACAGAAAGCGTAAGTATATTTTATGTTTACTAATCTAAATGGATACATGTTTTACAATGCAGTAATATTATCATTTGTAGAATGATGTTTCCACTAATATAGCCTATTGGTGGTGGTGATTTAATATAAGAATAAAAGTAAACAAATATTAATATGTAGGATCTCTGTATAAACCTTTAACAAAATGAAACAGTTTTAAATGAGACAAACACATAGCAAAACACATATATAAATGTCTGCAAATGCAAAAATAGTATTTCAAAGGGTATCTGAGAACAAATTACTTGAAATCGCTTAAATTTACATGGGCTGTTATGGCAGTTCGGCTACTGTTAACATGAGTTCGGCTACATACTGTTAACACACGTCACATGATGCACAATTACAAAACATTAACACATATTTCTTGTACTCTCTAAAAATATCCGGCTTCAAATGCCAAGATGATTCATAGTCTAGAGTAACCCTTGGCTGAAAGGTTTTAGGTTTAGGTTTATGCGTAACTATCTTGCCACGAGACTTGTCCTGTTGTAACAAAGTACTCTGCAAATTCATTGCGAACTGCCTGTGCAACATCAGAACTTTTACGGGCTTTCTTTCTCATACCACGAAGTGCTGGTGCTGTACCAAGGATTTCTTTTCTCCAGTTCCCCTCAATGACAGTGCCATTCGGTAGCTCGTTGTCAAAAGTACCGGGAGGAGTGTAGATGTCCCGGGATGTTTCGCTCCTCCTGAGGAAATTATGCAAAAAAAGAGTTGTAAACACCACATCTCTAACCTTTTCTGGCTCCAACAGCATCGGTTTTCTCAAAACTCTGAATACAGCTGAAAGAATCCCAAAACTATTTTCTGTGACTCGCCGAGCTCGTGATAAACGATAGTTGAAAATCCTCTCTTTGGATCCATTTTGTGAGACCCCAGAGTAGGGTTTCAAAACGTTTTCATGCAGAGCAAACGCTTCATCTGCTAAAAAAACGTAAGGAACACGTTTTTCACGCCCTGGAAGTGCCTTTGGTTGCGGTGCGTTCAAAGTTTTCCCTTCAATCTTTTTCCACAATGCACAGTTTTTGAATATACCGCCATCAGATATACGTCCCTGAGCACCGACGTCAGCAAACATAAAATTGTAGTTAGCATCTACGAGCGCAAACAGAACGATACTGAAGAAAGACTTGTAATTGTAGTACTCGCTTCCGCTATCCCAAGGTGCTTGGATTTCGATATGTTTGCCATCTACTGTTGCCAAACAGTGTGGGAAATTCCACGTTTCTTGAAACTCCTTTTCATACCGCAGCCATTCTTGTTGTGAGCTCGGCAGCTGTAACAAATGACTTTAAGGTGCTATATGCTATATATGCTATATGCTATATGCTGACAGCCGGTATTATAGTCAGTTGTAAGTAAAATAATTGTTATAGCGAAATTGGTTTTAGATCAATTTTCTTTTTCCCCCAGGTTCTTGTCGAACAGTCTGAAAATAATCCTGATGAAGATGAGGAGGAAGAATGTAATCAATCTGAACCTGTTGTACCATCTGGAAATCAAAGCACGGCAACAGCATCGCGTGCTTCAACATCAAGTCAACAAAGATTTGTACCACCGAAACCCAAAATGCGAAGGAGAACGGCCGTTGACGACCCCCGGCTTGCTCAGGCGTACAACCTCATGGATAATGCGACAAAAACACCTCGTGATGAATGTTCAACATTTGGAGAGCATATTGCGACAAAGCTCCGAAAGTTTGATGACCGTAAACGTAATTATTTGATGCACAAGATTAGTACATTGATATACGAGACAGAAATCGAGGTTGACACTGTTTACATACGTTCTCCTATGCAGCACAGCGGTGAATCCAGCGCAAGCCGAATGTCTACCCCTAGTCATTCACCTACACCTCCATTGCAACAAGTATACAATCCACATGCCAACAACCCTTTACAAACATTTATAAATGCCTTTGTGGATAATAATTCAGAACATTTTACTCCTCTGTAATGGCTAGACTTTAAAATGCCAATGAACAATTGTTTATGAAATAGGGTTTGTTACAAGTTATCTTTTGGGGGAATTTTGATATTTTTTATTAATATCCATGCCTTTGGTTTTCATTTTTTTCCTAGTTAAATTTGTTTTTTCAGTAAATAATTTTAAAAATGCTTATGTATTTATCAACAATCATTAAAAGAATAAAATAGAAAATTTAAACATGGTGGTGGCTTTCGATAGTTTCAAGTTTGTTACGTCAACTCGAGCTTAAATCACTACCTATAGGATGGCCCTATATGCATTAAATATACAACTTGTCCCTAAATACATTAAACTGCTCTCCCAAGTTCGAAGTTAGATGTTTCGTTATACTGTATTTGTCTGCTAACATAAGATCATTATGTAGACCTAAGATTATTTTTAGTTTGTTTAATTCACTTTCGTTAGTTTTTTTAAACCATTTTTGAAAATGTTACAAGCATATTAATTATGTTAATTCTAAATCAATCACGTTCCTAAAGTACAGTTTTTTATAAAAGTGTTGTACATTTAAATTTACTGCTTAATAAACTATATTACTTACTTGTATGTAGTCTCTCAGTGCATTATTCAGAGCCCTGCAAACTTCCATCACAATGTATGAAATACTCTGTTTAGACACTTTGAAAAGGTACATCAAGCTTGTGAAAGAGTCTCCAGTTGCTAAAAAGCGAACAGTTATCGCCAGTCTGTCCTTAGCACTTATAGCTTTTCTATAATTAGTATCCCGTCGAGTGATTTCTGGCCCAATCAAATTGAGAAGATACTCAAAATCTTCAGACGACATGCGGCAAAAATTTTCAAACTGCCCACCAAGACGGAGATCATTGAGCATGGATTCCCCTCCATACGATTCCCGACGTCTCAGTATGGGCGTCACCCAATGACGACGTGGTTTTCTCCTTCTTTTTAACCGATCATTATAAATAACAATAAAAACCGAAGCAGCTATTGCAGGGTCCATTTTCTACATCGGTGTGATTGTGTAGCCCGCGCAACACGGATCACAGCCGCGCAACTATGAACATGGCGCTCTGTTCCGCCCAGTTTAGCGCAGTTTCGCGCAGCGCAATATGCTTTGCACAGCGCGGCGCAGCGCGGCGCAGCTCTGCGCGTTCGGTGTGGACGTACCTTAATGTGTTAGCCAAAGTCCGTACGTGAGTTTTCTATTGCATTTTGGTAAAACCGGTCCAAAATAACAATGTTACTGGAACTACATTTTGAAGACTTCATACTAAAATAAGGTTTTAATCACAGCCCTATAATTATATTCCAAGTAGCCTACTTCCCCGCTTTGTACGGACTTAAGTAACCCATAAAAAATATATTTTCCAACAGATTTAACATTTTTACAAGTATTTTTGATCATGTTAAGGTCTTTTAACCATGAATGAATCAACCAATGGTTCTGCTAAACTTCGTGACAAGTTCACGGACGAATTCACAGAGTTTAGATTTAAAAAAAAATGCTTTAATTGTGTTAGAAATAGTTAAATTTACAAATATTAACAGTGTCGGAGTGAAATCTAAACTTATTATTCTTCTTGATGTGTTAGCTAAAAGTCCAAACGCTAGTTTTCTGTTACATTTTGGTAAAAAACTTTCCAAGATAGTAGTTTTACCAAACTAGGCCTACCTGATGTCCGAGGTCTAAACCGTCCGAGTGTCAATCGTCGGAATTCCAATGACTTTAGCTGTTCTGATAGTATACGATGTTGCAGACGCAACACAACTCGCTCTGAATGAACTCCAGTTGTACTGAACTGGGATTTGATTTTGTGTCAACAGAAAAAGGAGATTCTAAGCTTGAATTCAATGTCATATGATCAAACCTACCTTTGCCGTCTGCTCTTTTGTTGTTTTTGAACATATAGCATACACCTACTGATCCTAACGGAAAGGTAGTAGCCTAAGTTAATTTTTATGTTTAAAGATAGTCCATTTGATCTATTTTCATTATACATAGGCCTACTAGAGGACCCATGCTCCTCCGCAGCGTAAAAAAAAATATAAAATCTGAGAAATAATCAAATTTATGATTTTTGATTGAGTAATACATTATCTTGAGCTTAACTGATTTAAACGATCAATAGCTCAAATTAAAAAAGCCTATAATTTACTGATTAGGCCTATTTTGAGTCTAAAACATATAGAAAAACATGAACACTGGAGCTTTTGATTTGTAGGCCTAATAATAGAAAACCCTTATGAAAAATAATTTTTATGTTGGTTATTCACAATGTGTTTGCTTAAAACTCGTCCGATTTGAATAGGCCTAACTAATAGTTTAAAAGAAAGCCGGTATTTTACTGAAGGTTCTTAGACCAAAATATATAGGATTATATAATTATAACTGGTGAAATATGGTACATCTTAAATTGAAGTACCGGTAATCTTAAATTAAAAATCAAATCAAACTAGCCTATGCCATTGCTTGATGTGAAATCTTTCATTCTTTCTTTTTTATGTGGAAACGAACTCGGAAAAGAAAAACCAAATCAACTCCCATAAGAAATACACGGGGCGAAAATTTCGTTTACGTATAAGCCGAGTGGGATAATAGATAAATATATGCCGATGCTTGATGGCAAATCTTTGCGTACATGCCTTCAATTTGAGACCTCAACAACGAAAATCGGTCGGGTAGAAGAGCCAAATGTACGCGGAAAAGAGAAACCAAATTTAACTCCCATAAATAAGTGGATTTTCATTTTACAATTTACTGGTTTCGAGGACATCACCATACACCAATATATGAGTAGGCCTATAGTCTGCGCGCGATAACTTTTCACTTGGGATTTTTGGTGTTCCGTGTGAATTTTGTATCGGCAACGTCGCACCGCCGAGGCGAGCGCCCGCTTCTTGTCACATGTGACAGGTATAGGATGGGGTAGCGAGCCCTGTAGCGTTGCCAAGTTATGCAAGTCCCAGGTGAAAAGTTATCGCGCGCGGAGTATAAGTAATTCATATTTGTATTTTCTTATAGATAATGTCAAGCCACTCTTATACCTACATAATCATTAGTAATGGTTTTCTAGGGTCTTATATGTCTTGTGTATAATTTATGACCGAGGAATACGGCAATGTAAAAAATCAACCGAAAGTGTTTCTGTCCATAAATGAGTTATGGTATTTTATTTTATATGCATAAAAGTATGGCCTATATTTTCTTGTTCCCTAATACATTTGCTACAAAATTGGCTACAGTACCTATTTTGAATTTTTAGTATCGGTAGAGCAAAATAATTTTATTTTGATGAAGTGCAAAGTTACAAATTGAAAAAAATATATATAGGCCTATATATTTTCATTATATTGAGTTTTAGCCTCCTGATCACATTTAAATACTAAATAATGGTGTAAATACCTGCATCTATGTGATCAATGTGTTGCTAAAATGCAACCGGTTTCGTCTCACAAAGGAGTCATCGTCGGGCCAGTACAGATGTCTTCTTGCTTCATTTGAAGGTCGTCAATTTGTAATAAATAAATACATTTAACACGCACACGTACACGAACATAGAAACGAACATTTAAGGTTAAAAACGAAAGATAATACTATAGCGGTAACGGAACACAACGTGATCGGGCGGGGGTTATGTCTAGACTAGACATAACCCCCGCCCGATCACGTCGTAGTAAGTTGTGTGGATTTAATTAGTAGGCTACTCTCCGAATCCTAGCCTACTTGAACAGAGCAAAGAATTTCTTTTATGAACAGAACTTAACCTTCATTCGATTTTTTTCATTCAGCAAGTTTGGTTGGTTAGGTTAGGTTATGACAGTAACTGCCGGACGTGTATCCTCTGCGTTTATCCAAATATTTGCAAAAATAAAAGTTAGGCTATAACTAAGCCATTTTAAATATAGGTACCAGTAAGCATAGCGTTTTAAGTACAAAATGGCCACGGCGGTTCTCGATTATAGGAATGATTTAACGCTGGCGGTGTAAAGGTCAACTTTTTATTTTTTATTTTTTTTTTAAGGGGGAGGAGGGAAAATGCTTTTACGCACACAGGTAGCCAGCCTGTAGTGTGAGACTCCTGAATCTATCACAGACTACTCACTAAAAAACCCCCTCTACTCTGTTGGACACAGACCTGGAATTGTTTGTCACATTACTTCAAGTCAGGCCAACGTGTGACCTAAGCCCTCAGGGCTCTCGCCGTTTTTGGCATTTAGATACTTTATGACCTACACCGCTACCGCATCACGGTCAAGGTCGAGCTTCTTGGCACGAAGAATACCCTGGATGTAATGTCACACACAGGTCCAATTGTCCTCACCCTCCGTCATCATCGGTATGACATTGTCCACTGACAGCAGTCCTACTAACTGTTGACCCTCCAGGCGGGGCCTTTCCCAGCGCTGGCAGTGGAAAAAGGTACTTATGTTCCACGTCATCGGGAATGCCTGGGCAGTATATGCAATCGGGTGACACAGCTTTGCCCATCCTGAACAGGTAGGCCTACGACCGGAAAAAGCCGTGACCCGTCAGAAATTGGGTGAGGTAAAAGTCCACCTCTCCGCACCGCCGATTAACCCAAGGTTGGACTTGCTGTATTAGTCGGGCTGGTCCAGCGTCCCCGAGTCTCCTGTTTCCAGCTCTCCTGCCACAGCAAGTAGGTGTGGGTGCGTTCCTCTGTTCGTGCCTGGTCCTCCCCACGGCGCTGATTAATTGCCTTTCTCTCCGCCGCCAAAAGTTTGACGGGGATGACTCCAGCAACCACCAGGACAGCGGGTTCGGACACTGTTCGGTAGGCGGATGCAACTCTTAGTGCTGCCTGACGCTGCACTCGGGCGAGCCGCATCCTATATAACTCCTTATTGAGAGCGTCTGCCCACACCTCAGCACCGTACAAGAGTACGGACTGGACAGAAGACATTAACAGCCTTCTACGGCTAGACCGAGGACCATGGCATTGGCCATCAACCGGCTAAGAGTGGAGACCACCCTAGCGGCCTTGTCCGCCGTACGGAAGTTCGGATCCCGCCAGCTAAGCTTGCTGACCACCATAAAAGGTACTTGGCAGAACGAACCGTCTGAATTCGACGGCCCCTACCCTCAACGGCATTCTACTAAATATAGGTATTCAGATGGTGTCAATCCGTTTTTTTGTTAATATCACCATCTCAGTTTTGCTCAAAGCAAGCGAGAGACCGTGGTCTGTCATCCATGCGTTTATGGTACGCATAACTCGGTTCAGCTTTAGCTGAGCCAGCTCTACACTACGTGCAGCTATCAAAACTGCAACGTCGTCTGCGTACCCAACCAAAACAGTTTCCTCAGGCATTTCAGACCTCAGGAGGCTGTCATATCATAACACTGCAAACCTTTATTTCAAGAGCTTGGCATCCTGACAGTCTATGGGAACTACGTGTTGAGCTCCCTCCTCTACATAAAAGAGAATTTAGCTGATTTTCAAATAAGAGGGCAGCTTCACGGTCACAATCTGAGAAACAACAACCTGATCTCCATTCCCAGATGCCGCACTTCTAAAGTGAAGGACAGTTTCCCACTACTGGCTTGTAAAATGTTTAATAGACTGCCTGAGAACATTAAGAACCTGGAGCCGAAACTGTTCAAAAAGAAGTTAAAGTCGTGGTGTTGCCAACAAAGCTTTTATTCCTTGGAGGATTACTTCAAAGCCCAGTTAGTATTTTAATATTTTTTATGCCGCCTGACACTCAAGTTAATTAATAATAATTATATGTTGAAGTATTTTTTATTTGTAAGTTTTATGATATTTGTATCATTACTGACGCGACCTATCCAGAAATGGTCAA